GCTCATGCCCTTGCCAGCTGCGAACAACTCCGCCTTGCGCGCATTGATCTTGTCCAGCTCCTCCTGGGACGGCCCTAGCTGGGTACTCGATGCTGTTGACGTGCTGCCAGTAGCTGCAACCTCGGGCTCCTCTGCAGGGGCGCCCGCCGCGGAGGCTCCGTCGTTGCACTTCTTGCGCTTGTGGGAGAGCAGCCGTTGGCGCTGCTCCTTGATGGTCTCGGTCTCCTTCTGCACCTGCTGGGCCATGGGCTTGAAATGCTCTGTCACGAGCTGCTTGATGAAGGCGCCGAGCTGGGTCTTCCTCTCACGCCATTGTTCGAGGAGCTCACCAGCGTCTTCATAATCATCTTCTTGGCCCTCCAAGTCGAGTAGATCGCCCTCGCTGATGGAGATGTCTTCGCCCTTCAGTAGCGCCTGGAGGTCGATGCCCGTCGCGGCGGGCGGCGAGGCCCTGGACGCTGGTGCCAAGCTGGCACGCACGCGCTCCTCCTCCGCCTCGGCCTCCGCGAGCTTGGTGGCCTGGTCCGCGAGGTAGTGCTCCGCCTCGGTCCACTGCCGCTTGGTCTTCTCGACCCACTGCAGTGCTTCTTGATACTTCTTGTTGGCTGCACGTGCCGCTTCAGCTGCTTGCTTGAGACGGGTCTCGGGCAAGATGGGAACAGGCTTGGGCACTGGTGCGACCTTACTCTTGAGCTCCTTGAAGAGGTGTGGGTCGATGCGGCGCGCGATGACGGCGAGCGCGTCCTCCATGACCACATCATCTGGGTCCAGATCTCTGTCCTTCTGCAACTTCTTGCGATTATTCTTCTTCATCTTCCCCCCGCCTTGGCCGGACTTACCCCTCTGGACGTAGCCCATCGCATCAGCAGGTAGCGGAGGTGGCGGCATCGGCGGCCTGGGTGGGACCATGGCGAAGGGGGAAGTCACATGGTTGCCGAACATGTCGGGCTGCGGGAACATAGGCCAAACAGGCTGCGGAGGAAGCGGAGCTGGAAGTGTCGAGGGCGGCGAGGCCCATTGCCCCTTCGGTGGTTGCGCCGTCTTGGGGCTGGGTTGGAGTCCGCCCCCCGCACTGGAAACACGACTGCTTCGATCGCCAGCTCCACTGATATCCGCATTGCCGGCATGGCACATAGTGGGTCTTAGTCATGGGGTCGCGAAACCCTGGCCACTACTCTGGGAGCGAGCAATCCGAACGATACCACACGCCTCAATCTCTCGAGCGCGGTGGGAAGTTCAGGAGCAGGCCCCTTGAGCCAAAATGGCTACGGGAGGAGGAGGAGTGGGAGGAGGAGGAGGAGGAGGAGGAGGAGGAGGAGGAGGAGGAGGAGGAGGAGGAGGAGGACGAGGACGAGGAGGAG